CATTTTCAATGAGCAACTTCATCAGGTTTGAGACAATCGCTGATCATCAAGATGCTCTTAGAGCAAAACGACAAAGCTGAAATGTGATTCCCATAATACAACAATCTAGAGACTAATAAGCATTGACTGCAGCTGTAGTTACACTGCCATTGAACAGATTTCTTCTGGCATGCTAGAACTTCTAGAGCATTAAACAACACACATCTGAGCCATCCTGGAGAAATCAGTGTTTCTAGGTGGAAGCATTAGGGTTAGTTCACCCAAAAATGACATAAAAAAGGCTTTCATTCGTCTTCGAAACACACATGGAGATATTTTTGATAAAACCTGAACGCTCTGTGAGCTTTTCCAAAAAGTGCTGCACTGTGTTTACAACATGAACCTTTTATATTTGAACCCTCATTTTCATAGAGAAATTAAGCTTATTTTAAGACAATTAAGATTTTCGTATTGTGACATTTCATTATTTCCATATAATTAAGGAAGTGCATATATGTGTATGTATTTTTATATATATATATTAGTATGTATGTGTGTGCATGTGGGTGTTTGTGTGTACATATAACATGGTTGTACATGTATATGTACGTGTGTGTGTGTGTGTATATATATATATATATATATATATACACACACACACACACACACACACACACATATATTAAAAAAAAGTATGTATACCCACCATTGGACATCATTATCAAATTAAGTAACCTATTCACTAAATAATATACACTATTTTTTTTTAAATTAACTGGTTTATTAATATGAAAATGTCACAATACAAAATATCTAAATATTAGTAGAATCGCTTTCATTTCTTGTAAAAAAAAAACCCAAATGGTAACAATTTAGAAATAAGGTTTCATTAGTTAACATTGTTCACTAGTTAACATAACACGCTTTTACAGCATTTACTAATCTTTGTTAATGTTAATTCTAACGTTTACTAATACATTATTAAAATCAATAGTTGTATTTGTTAACATTAGTTAACATCCACTTTTGAAGTAAAATGAACAAACGATGAACAGCTGGATTTTTATTGAGTAACGTTAACAAAGATTAACAAGATACAGTAACAAATGTATTGCTCACGGTTAGTTCATGTTCGTGAATATTTGAACTAATGAAACCTGATGCAAAGTGTTTAAAAAATCTCTGGATTTTGGGGAAATATGACTTTGCTTCATACATGTTCATTCACATCAAATGTTGTCACTTCGCTTTTTTAGGAATGCCATAAGGGAAGCTTACGAGCCAAAAATTGTTCAGGTTGTTAATAAACAGGCCTACAGAGTTACAATTTTTCTCCGAAAACTGACGCCATAATGCCGGTGTATTTCCAGGCATGCTATTTTTATTTTCCGGCTGTTAGATTTTCTTGCAAAACAGACATGTTGACAAGGAATATTCTGTCTCTGTGCACAATGTCCCTTCTTTGCATTTGTCCTTTATTATTGGAGAAAATGAACCATGAGCAGTTGCACTGACGTGCTTGTATCTAACTCCATAATAAAAGTATTGTCAATTTTAAATTGTAGTATTGCAGACATTGAGTTGACTTACTAGAAGCTAGTAATATTAGGAAGGCCACAGCACATTGACGTATTTTTTTAATATGCAGTTTTCAGGTTATGTAAAAAAAATTCTACCCCTTGTTACTGTTTTGTTGTATTTTTACCGTTTATGCCTAATAACCTCGTCTGTTTCTCTTTCTATCTGTCTGTCATTTCCTCATACACACACACACACACACACACACACACACACATACGCCCTCTCAATCAAGTTACCTTGTCATCAAGAGTGTGTTTATCTTGTGGAGTTTTTGGGCTCTGATCTTGGGATACACAGACACATTTACAATTTGGGGGTCACGGTTTGAGACAAGGACGTTAGATTTTGGTCTATGAGGATTGAAACCCTCACAAAGACTGTACTTTGAATTTTTTTTATACAATTAACCAATATAAATGGATATGGCAGTATGAATAAATATATGACTATATATTATTAAGAGATGTGTGATCTTTCTGTTATTCCTCAGACAGTGAGCTGCTGTCATTGACGTTGAGGTTCAGAGACAATAAAATTGTTTTTGGATTGATCTATAGAGTTGGTAATTGATACCACAGTTATATTTGATGATAATACTTACCGTTGAATGTATAGTTCCACTATAAAAATGAATTATTATAGTTTTTTTTTTTTTTTAAAAATCAAACAACCGGTTTGCAGGCCAACTCATTAAAAATGTGGTGACTCACTCAGACTGGCACTGGTTCAGTGCCTGGGGAGTTAATATAATGCAATTTGAACCATGAACTAGTTTGACTGGTAACATTGCAGTGAATACGTGAGAACCGACATGTTTCCGCATTTGTGCTGGAAACATAAAACTGAGATTGTCTACAAAATCTCATTTGTGTAATGACAAAGGGAGTAACTTCTTAAAGTAAGGAGGAGGAAAAATAATGTGTCTAACGTGCTGGAAAAGAGACTTAAAGGGTTAGTTCACCCAAAAATGAAAATTAAGTCATTAATTACTCACCCCCATGCTGTACCAACCCCGTAAGACCTTCGTTCATCTTCAGAACACAAATGAAGATATTTTTGATTAAATCTGAGAGGTGGATCACTGCTACATAGGATCCCTAAGGGATTGAAACTTGATGGCCCAGAAAGTCATCGTAGAAAATGTTTAAATATTCCATGTGACTACAGCGGCTCAACTATATGTTTATCAAGCGACGAGAATGCTTTTTGTGCGGAAAAAAACTCCAAAAATAACGACTTTATTCAACTATTCCTTTTGTTCCTTGTAGGCCGAGACGAGAGTTCATGCGCGAGAATTGTGATCTTCTTCAAGTCTATTTTAGTTCAGTTCTCGCACATGCGTCATGGAAATCTCTTGAACTCTAGCGTTAGCAGCATCTTGACTACCTAGCCTGCCAGAACTGACGCTCAATTTGAGAGTCAATTTCCCAGAAAAGTCTGTGGTGTTTGAACTGGCTCAACAAAAGAAACATGAAGATGGGTCACACTTCATATCTAGTATCATTAAAGGGATACTTCACCTCTGGGAAGATGAATGTGTATTTAAAATTGGTCATTTATACACACTGTAAAAAATGCTGGGTTGTTTTAATAAATTTATGTTGGATTAAAAAAAGCTATTTAAAAATGTAACACAACAGCTGGGTTTGTCCATATTTGACCCCAAATTGGGTTAAACCAACCCGGAATTTTTTCAGAGTGTAGTAGAAATGTGAAATTAATTTTGAAATTGAAGCATTCTAGAAATGTATTTTTTACTTGTGTGGCTGAAAGAAACGACATCTCCCAGAATGCATTTGCGTTGCTGCCCTTACGAGGCCCCTCCCAAACCACGGCAGAATCCAAAAAATGCATTCACCTAAGCTTGTGTAACCCCTACACCCGGGTCCCACTCGACCTCGAACCCGGGTCTCCGGCATGAGAGTCTAACAAGGAGGCTAAAGACTGCAGCCTCTAGCATCTGTCGCTAGAGCGCCTATTGAGATCAGGGGAGTGAGGTTTACTCGCACAGCAACTACTAGCTGGCCTCCGTTACACTTGCTTTGAAACATTGTGAATTATTTGATAAATTTCCATCGAAATGGTGCTAAATTGCATTGTACGGTGATGTACTACTAGCCTGATGTATATAACACGACTTAGACTTTCACATTAAAAATATGATGCAAGGCAGGATCATGTCAACAGAGTAGCTTAGTAGCTCTGCTTATGAACTGTTTTCCTCCAAATGAAATCACTATTTCTCTAAGCTAATACATTATCTAGGCTAATCCATACTCTACTAACACTAAAGGTTTATAAAAAGAACCACAACAAATGTGAGTTATAACTTTTAATAAAAAAAAATAATATTAACACTTAAAAAATAATATTAACATTTACACTCAAAGCTCTGCGGATTCAGCGAGGTCTCGCTCTGGCCACCTCTTGTTCCTCTATCTCCCGCATCTGTTTATCGCTGTATTGCGGCTCGTACAGGTAGCCGCGAGCATCAGATTCTCGCAACAGATCTTCGAAATCCCCTTCTGCCATTTCAACTTCAAAACTACCTTCCACCATTGTGATCCCGCCCCATATGTGCGTGGTGAAAACACGCAGAACACTGGTTGTAGTCTTTAGCCTCTGCACGGTAATTCGAAAATGCTACTGGTTTTCAACTGATTCAAAGCTTAAAGGACAACTCCAGCGCAAAATGAACCTTTGGTCTAATTACATATTGTTACCTAGTCAACCGCCGAATGTAAATAGTTTTATCTCTAAAAACAGTTTAGCCTATAACGCTAGTATAATGCTAGTATATAGGGCATAGAGTAATGACAAATAAAAATCGCTTGTTATTACCACTAACAAGGCTCAAAATAGCCCCACACTAACACGACAGCACAATAAGGGTCCCTACATTCAAACCGAAGCATTAAGAACTTTGTTAGTGTTCAGTAAAGAAGATATTTTATACACACAGTCAACTTCGCGAATACAGGAAGAAGCCATCTTTGAAAAATAGTCTGTACCAGTCGATCTACGAACGCCGATCCAAGTGCGCTGAACTGTGCAGAATCTCATATGGTCCGTTGTTTCCGGAAGAAACACAAACACGAACCGTTTTCTTCTCTTCAATATGTACACGTAGACTACTGTTCGCGCTCACCTTATCACCTTATTCACATCTCACCAGCGCACTTGGATCAGCGTCCGTAGATCGACTGATAGAGACTATTTTTCAAAGATGGCTTCTTCCTGTATTCGCGAAGTTGACTGTGTATAAAATATCTTCTTATTAAACTGTATGGGCACTGACAAAGTTCTCAATGCTTCGGTGTGAATGTAGGGACCCTTATTATGCTATCGTGTTATTTGTCATTACTCTATGCCCTATATACTAGCATTATACTAGCGTTATAGGCTAAACTGTTTTTAGAGATAAAACAATTTACATTCGGCAATCATGAAAACAAATCTCGGATAACGGTTGACAAGGTAACAATATGTAATTAGACCAAAGGTTCATTTTGCGCCGGAGTTGTCCTTCAATGCTAATTCCCTAAGTATCCCTTTAAGGATGTACTTACACACACAAAAAACAATTACATTAAATGAATAGGCACTTATAACGCGCGACTGAAAAATTAATCCGCTAATGCAACAGATTCAGGTAGTACTGCTAGTGGAGAACATTTTAAACTCTTGTTGATGTCTTGCACCACTCGGGATGAATCTGAAAGTCTCTGCTGCACCATTGCAACACAATAAAGTGCAGTACAAAGGTAGTTTTTCCCCAAGAACCTACTTCAAACCCTTGTACATCAAAATCTTGTTCTCCTGATGGAGCTGATTGATTGTCTTGTTTTCAAAGTCTCCACCATGAGAGTCATTTTCAAATGAAGTCATTGTTTTATCGAAATAATGATGCCATTTTCTGTCACTATTAGCTCCAAACCCGAAAACATCCACCTGCAAGAGAAAGAGTTATCAGTGCGTTTATAGTTCCTTCGTGAAAATAAAATGTAAAATGTGAAAAAATGATTCCTCTAGTTTTAATATTAAATTCATTATCTTTTTTCTATTTTTATAAATAAAAACAACAGCAGTGCCACACTAGCTGTGCCACACACCGTTTGAACCGGCAGAATGGGAGTTTTTACCTTGTCACAGATGTGAAGAGCGAATATCAGCGTTAAGAAACCAGTGGATGGATATCTGCCATGACCTTCTGCCCAGTTATCGTGCACGTATTTTATGAATTCAGGGTGCAGAATCATCACCTAAAAACCACAGAAATAAAACAGGACACTTTTGAAATGTGCATTTATGACAGATTTCATTCAGGTGATGCTAATATTAACCATGCAAATTAAAAAAAAACATCAACAATTGTCATTGATTGATTGATTGATTTCACGATAAGGTCTGTGTTGTTCACCTTGTCCTTATTTGCTTTGATTGAAGATGGAACGTTGGTGTATGTACTGAGAAAACAAATACATTTAGATCAAAATTCAGATTTAAAAGATCATATAAAATTAAATATCCATATTGTTTTGGACTCAAAAATTACTATACAAAATGCATTTAAGTATTTTTTTTGTGCGTGTTAAAGGGATACTACACCCAAAAATGAAAATTCTGTCATCATTTACTCACCAGGAAAACATTGTTTTAGGTAAAGGAACATTGAGTTCCCTGTTTTAATAATCTAAGCGCATGGTCTAAAGCGCACGCCGCAAGTTCACTAATCCACTTTTGCAAGTTTAACAACGGGAAAAATGGTCGGCGTACCCGGCGCATGGTCTAGAAGAGTTGTCCCTATTCTCTTAATGAGTAATGGGTGTGTTTTGGGCTTTACGTGCAATAAACAAATCAAAGTCTCATCTCCCATTTCATTAAAAACAAAGTCCTGTTCGCCTTGTCACAAAAGTCGGACGTTGAAAAGGCGTCCACTGACGGGCCAGAATGAAAGTTTTTATGACATCTTTTTGTGACGTGTTCTGGACGTCTGAATAATATGTTAATGGATCCTTCGTACGAGGTTAAAAACTAGTACTGTTTCTGGACCAAATAAATACTCTTAGGATGCATTAAAATAAAACTCATGTTTATTTCAATGTAATTTCCTTACATTGTTTAGATGGTGATATTTGTTTCATTTCAAGTCACCACTGTGGTGATCTGTGTTTCCTTTAGTTGGGCTCTTGGTCCCAGTTCTTGTTATTTTAGCTTTTCTTTGGCTGTTGTAACTGTGTGTTTGTATAACACCATTGTTGTGGCAGAGAAAGCCAAGAAAAAGTAAAATCAGCTGTTTTCAGCTGCTTGTTGATGATAACAAAATCAACACAATGCAAGCCTTAAACAGCATTTTGTTTTTATATCTGATATTTATTTATATATCTGATATTTATAACCACCAATCTTGTGGAACTGCATTAACTTTAAAATGATCACTGTGTGCAAAGTCTTTTAAGAAAGTGAATCACATAGTCACACACAGACATCAAGATTTTGGATATGGTTCACAACAATGGTGACAACCAAGACAAAAAAGCTTGGGAACCAAGGGTGTTTTGTACTATGAAAGCTACCCATCATGCATTGCAGCATGAAGCATTTTTATTTATTGTCACCATTGTTGTGAATCATATGCAAAATCTTGATGTCTGTGTGTGACTATATGGTACATTTTCTCAAAACATTGTGTAAACCTGCTTTTTGTCCACCTTCCATGCTATAGTTGGGGACATTTAATTTAATATTCAACAATAATATTGATCAGCCTGCATTGACACTATTTTTTTTTTTTTTTTGCATTGACACCATTATATGAGAACTGAGCTGGACGATTACATCACGGTTTTCTCCAGAGTGGCTCAAACAAACTTTGTTGCATTATTTTCCTGTTATCTCTATAAAGCTGCTTTGAAACAATCTGTATTGTCAAAAGCGCTATGTAAATAAATGTGACTTGACTTGACTTTAAAAGCCAGTTGTAGTCCCGCCATGGCGAATTCGCTATTTACATGACGGAATTTGCAAGTGGAGAGACTGAACGTGCCTCCAGAGAGGAAACGGATCTGCTCGTGCGTGAGGTTAAAGCGTGCAAGCAGACCATCTACAAGACAAGCCGGATTCCACCATATATTTATGTAGACAATAATAATCTTTTACATTGTAATCCTTTTTTAATTTTTAATAATTGACATGTTTGTGTTCTGCTGGGCGAACCTGCGTGTGTAGTAAACAGAGTGTATGCGCATTGTGCTCCCACCTAGGAACATATTACAAATGCGTCCATTAAAAACGAACAAAAAAATGCACCATAGACTTTAGACCAGGTTTTTGTTGGTCAATGAATGGCGCAGTCTATTTCAGTTGCCTCAAAATAGCAACGTCCCAACAATGCGCCTGAAGACACCTCGTTTTGAGACCAGCACACCCATGGGTGATGAACAAATGGGCGCAAATGCATTTGCTATTTAAACAACGTGCGCAGAATGTGAAAATGATAACTGCGTCAGGCTGAAACTAGCAAAAAGCACTTGCGTTGCGCTTGTGCTACATTGCGCCGGTTGTATAATAGGGCCCTTAGTTTCATAGTATCAATTTTAAAGTTTGATATATGTAGTGTCTGGACCAAAAAGACACACGATTATTCATTATAGTTGATGAATAATCCATAAAACCCCCTCGCCCAAAAAGCAAACTGTGTTCTGTGGACAATCCAGGAAGAGCAACTACCCAAAAAATCCAGAAAAGGCCTCTGGTTACTATCAGTTAAGACCGTTTTTTTTTTTTTTTTTTTTTTTTTTTACTCAAAAGAATGTGGAAGTTGGCCACATGAAAAAGGCTTTAGGAGAGACTCATAAAGCCTGTAAAACAGGCTTGTCTTCATTAATTTCTTGATTTACTGTTCAAAGAACATGGATATCCCCAGGACAGTGTATCTGTTGTATTGTATTTTGATAAGCATGCTTTATAATTGAACCACTAAATAATGTAACCTTATTGGTCTCATGCTTCTCAAATGAATCCTTGTGTGATGCCCTGAACATTGAATGCTTGTTATGTTAATCAAAGCATAAAGGGAGACAAACTGCCAGCATAATCTAATAATGCCAATGAGTCAGCTTCCAAACGAAGGAACTTTTCCCGCTTTAAAATTGCACCTTTCTCATTGGTCAAACCAAACTCGAGCGGTGTGACCTCTGTGGAGGTTAAAGAGTCAAGTCACCTTCATTTATATAGCGCTTTTTACAATACAGATAGTTTCAAAGCAGCTTTACAGAGATAGCAGGAAAATAATGTTAAACATAAAATGAAATTTCCCCAACTAAGCAAGCCAATGGTCCCGGTTCCGGCTGACCTCATTTATGCAGCTTAACAATGATTTAACTGACTATTGAAAAATAGGATTGTATCATGTTCTATTACCCCCTTTTCCACCAAAAAATGAACTGGTACAGAACTGGTGCTGGTTCAAAGTTGGTTCGGAGTTGTTTCAACTTGCGAACACTTTCAGAACCTGTTTAATATTTTCTTTTGATATGTAATCTTTTCTGATTAGTAATGTACCCCTGTCTTGTGTCTTTTTTTTATTTCCGTTTATTTGTTCTATATTGTGACGGTTTTCTTCTTTGCTTATAATGTTTTCAAAAAAAAAAAAAAATAGAAACGCTTGCGTTAACTTCAAGCATAACAATTACGAAGGCGGGTTTCTGCAAATGTTTCTCCTGGCTTTGCGACGGTCAGAAAAGATGCCCCCAGCCCCCGACGTAAGCATGACGTGGTAAAAGAACGGTTCTAGTCCAGCAAAGAGTTGGTGCCGCTTTGGAACCAGTTTTCCCGGCCGAGAACCGGTTCTTTGGCTGACGAAACGCAAAGAACTGGTTCGCGCGCAGGCAATGGGCTCCAAACGCTTTGGTGGGCATCACATTTCTCAATATTAGATTTAAACTGACAGTGTCTGCTTCCCAGACAATGTTAGGAAGACTGTTCTAAAGATTAGGCGCTAAATAGGAAAAGGATCTACCGCCAGCAGTTGATTTTGATATTCTAGGTATTATCAACTGGCCGGAAGTTTGAGATCGCAATAGGCGTGAAGGACTATAATACATTAAGAGTTCGCTCAACTACTGGGGAGCTGAACCGTTCGGTCCTTTGTATGTAATCAGCAATATTTAAAGGGGTGATGAACTGAGAAATCAAATTTTCCTTGAGCTTTTGACATCTAAGAGGTCATCATATTATAAGAATATCCTGTAAGTTTCAGAACTGAAAACGTCCTTGTTAGTCCAATAAAAGCTTTTATTGACAGCAGCCTCTGAAAACGGCTCGTTTTGAAAAGTGGGGAACTATGTCGTCGAAGGGGTTAAAACACCACCCCCGCAGAAGATGATCAACGCCTACTTCAACACGGCAGGTTTAGCCCCGCCCACCGATTCGCGCATTACACGCATAACTAAGTAGCCTGACATACATGCCTACCTCGTGATGACAACCGGATCGAGCTACCGAGCAAATATGGAATATTGTGCAGTGCCTGGTTGTGGAAGACAGTCGCTGCATAAGCTTCCTCTTGAATCCAATAGGACTGCATGGATAAACTTTATTTTTAATGACGTTCCAGCTGATGAGGGTAAAACATCGTCGTCTGTTCGAGGATTGTTTTGTAAACAAGACTGGATTTGCAGACCGATTAAGAGTAAAGAACGGTGCAGTTCCGTCTATATTGGATCTGACAGGAATTGTGCAACACACGGACTCTTGGTCGAACATGTATGGGCGAATCCGGTTGCCATTTGACAACATTGGACGTTTTCCCCTACGTGCACCGACGGGTGAGTTAAACTCATTATAATATGCAAAACTGTTATCCACTCACAGCCGTGGGCGTTTATTTCCAAGTCTTCAGTGCGAGACGCCCATAAAAACCGACCGTTTTTCAGGAAGGCTCAAAACTTGGGTACAAAATAGCCTATTACTTATTCATTTTGATGTTTTTGAATGCAAAAACCAAGCAAACATCATGAATTGACCTCAGACAACAATATAATGAAATTTAAAAAGCCAGTTCATGACCCCTTTAATATGTATACAATGTTTAATAGGGAACCAATGCAGTGTTGACAGAACAGGGATAGTATGGTCACACTTCCTAGTTCTGCACCTGCAGTTCCCCTCTCCCGCTTCGTTGTTCTCCTAGTTGTGGTTCGTTTGAAAACACTGGAGACATCCAGTCCCACCACGGGACCTTTCCCTGCTGCGCAGCCGGAGAGGCCTCAAGTTACAACCATTGACCATGACAAGAGTCAAACTAACACTGGAAGATAATCATAATTTCTTCGTTCAACACAGAAGAAATTAATTGCAGCTTCAACAACACCATCAAGACTTACGGAACCATCAATACTTGCCCCTGAGATTACATCAGGACTTGTTCAACGGCTAAGACAATGCAAGTATTGTAAATTCACTAACTAAAGGAGGAGCGTACGTAGGGTTGGGTATCGAGAATCGAGTATCGATTGGAACCGAGACTAACTTTTCGTTTTTCCCGGAATCGTTCAAAAGTTAAAATTTCGATTCCTAGTTTCGATATTCACAGTCCGCCGAGCGGAAGAAGAAACCGCTGAACAACACCAATGAAGAAGCGTCTACCGGAAGTGTTGGCATAACCACGAGAGTCGAACATGAGTACCTTACGTTGGTGATCCAAAGAGTGGCTTCACTTTTCTAAAAATAACGAAATCTCGGCAAAATGCAAAATTTGTGAGAAAAGGAGTATTTTTACAGAAGGAGTATTTCCTTCAGAAAGGATTATTTCTTTCAGAAAGGCCATTGGTTAGCAAGGTTAGCTAAACTTTTTTGACCCTGCCTCTTAAAAGAATCGGAATCGAGAATCGTTAGGAACCGGAATCGAAACAAGGAATCGGAATCAGAATCGTTCAAATTCAAACGATACCCAACCCTAAGCGTACGTGCTACTTTGGACGCGTGTGTCTGCTGTCATCGGACAAATTTCAAGTGTGTTCACTTTTGTTAGGAGCACCTCTACAATTGGCGTCCCCTTCCCCAAGTGCCATTCAAGGGCGCAAAAACTCTATTTGGTATTCGCCAATTGAGTGTCGCGCATCTCTGAAAGAAATCCAATGGCTGACCGTCAACGCTGTAATGCGATTGGTTATCATGGCTCATGTGATGGCCGTTGTGCTTTCTCCAAAAGTAGAGCCATGCAACAGACCCTGCTATCTCTTAATCGAAAGACCATCCCTGGTTTAATTCTTACTGTCTGATGTGTCTAGTGGTAAAAGCGCTGATAAGCCACTGCATGTCCAGAACTTTAACGGGCAGAAGCACCAGATAGGTGTTGTCATCCAAGTCCACAGCGCTCTCGGGATACATAATCCGGTGAGTGGTCTTGTTTCCCACATCCTTCTCATAATCTTCTGTTGGGCCTTTATTTATCCTAAAAGAAAAACACATAGGAGATTGAGGTATTCATGATTGTGGCGAGCAGGGCGAGGCCGAGGGCCTCGAGAGAATGACGCGAGGCCGGTGGCGTGATTTGATAATGAGCGACACCTGCGTGCCGCACCGCTCTCCTATCTCTCAAGGAGGAGCGACGACAGTGAAGATGGAGAGAGGCCAGGCCTGGATTTAGGTTGTGTTTTGTTATTCGTGAAAGCCAGTCGTCCGTGAGAACTTTCATTTTGTATTTGTTTATTTTACATTCATTAACGTCTTTGAATGTCCTGCCGGTTCCCGACATCATTCCACAACATCTAATGTTGCTACAATGATATTCTTATGAAATGCCTTTAAGGCATCGTTTTGAAAATAGTGTAATTAAAGTCTTCTCTGGAATCACATGATCTAATGGGATCACATCTGATCAGGCATACAACAACAGCCTCTGTCATTAATTGTTTCATCGATTCTGCTTCGTTATTCACTCTTTGTTATTCTTTGTTGGCATTGATGGTTCCATGAAGAAACTTTATAGTTGAAAATGGCTCTTTAAATTATGTCCTTCACAATAATAATAATAATGTTTAAAGAAATTTTCAGTGATCAGTTCTTTGAAAAACCCTTCTGAGGAACATTTTAATAATCCGAATACCCTTTTTTCCAGCGTAAAGAACCTGTTGTTAAATGGAAAGGTCCCATGGATGTTAAAAGTTCTCCATGGAACCATCAATGCCAATAAAGACACTTCAGTCTGACATAATCTAATATATTACCTTATGACTAAGTCATGGCTGTCTATCAGTTGACCATAGTTGGATCCCAGGATGTTCCCAGAGTTTCCCACCACAGCACAGGTTCGGCAGCGATCTGGACCAGCGTCTGAGTAGTGATCTTCATTGGGGAATAGAGAAAACAGCTGGTCCACCACCTTTGTGTAGTTTGATGCACTTCGTACATCTTGAAGCTCCTGTACGAAATTATTTCATCAGGAACAGAATGAAATATATTATTCAATCATGTAAAAGTGAGCACTATTTTAAGAGGTTTGCAGTGCAATATGTTCAGGGGCATTGTGAACAAAGAATAAAGACGGGCTTGTTGAAGCCCTGTATCTCCATAACATGATGTTTTTAGTAAAAAGTCATATTACACATTTATTGTTTTATATGCTTGTTGTTTCTAGGGTATTGAGAAGTGTTTTTGTCAATCCCATTACTATTGGATGACAAGGTGTAAATGGGATCTAAAACGTTTTGAGCTTGTCTAGTCGAAATTGCATTCGACTGGACTGTTTTCATAGTGTAAAAGCTCATGTGGGTGAATGCATTCAAACAACCAAAAGACCGCCTAAAAATAGGTGGCCACTGACCTCGTGCGTAAAAAATGATTTAAACTGAGCTTGGTTTGAAGACTAAAAATGTACCAAGCATGCACAATTAAAGTTCTCTAACCTTTCCTAATTTTCTAACACAGCATTTAACATGGTCTAGCGGCTATCAGAGCAGAAATTAAAGCTGATGCTTTCCGTATGTTTTTTTCGTCGTCTCCTTTCGTGTTCATATGTAAATTTTGTGAGCCATTTTGCAGTGTTGTAGTACTCGAGACTCGGACTCGGTCTCGAGACCATATTTTAATGGTCTTGGTCTTGTCATGGACTCGTGTCCATTTGGACTCGGAATTGACTCGTACTCGAACATTTTTTTTTTTAGGACTCGGAATTATTCCCGAGTCCACTCGAGTTCAATTCAAAATATTTTTCATGATTATTAATGTATGTTAATAAAATATTTCTTTAAATTGATTGACACGCCCAGTGATTGGTGATTTTCTAGTGTGCAACTGCTCATGACAAATTTTAATAAAATTACTTTTAACACCACCTACTATGTGGCCTTTTTACCTTAAACTGATCATATTTTTAAACTCTAAGTAAATTCAGTAAAAAAAAAAAAAAAAAGGATTTCTCTAAGTAAATAAAAGTAAATTAGGTAATCAACCCTCACTGGTCTCGGCCTCGACTCGGACTCGACCGTCTCTGGTCTCGGACTCGACTCGGACTCGACTCTCTATGGACTCAGTCTTGACTCGGACTCGACTCTCTCTGGTCTCGGTCTAGACTCGGACTCGAGTGAGGTGGTCTTGACTACAACACTGCCATTTTGTCAATTGTTCAATGTTACAATCACTGACCTTGCCATCCAAAATAAGAAAGAACATTTCAAGCAAGGGATTTGAGGAAACTGTGGTTCCTAATTATTGTGATACAATATTTGCTTCGCATTTCAGGACGAAAAGACAAACACGTCTTCTAATATTTTCAATTGTTCGTGACAATGTCAACCGTAGCAAAACCCTGCGCACCGGTTTGAGCTTTAACGTGCCCCTGGTGTAAACAGGAAGTGAATTTGTATTTTGACATTAAACATCTGGTTTAGAATAGTCATATGTTTTATTTTTTATCTATATCAATGATGGTGATATTGTAACAGACAGGGGTCTGTTGGCCCCAAAGATGTTCAAGCAGTAGCAGAACCACCACTGCTCTGAATGTACCGGCCAATGGAGGCGTAAAAAATTGCATATTTACAGTGAAAATCCCCCCAAAACAAAAATAAAATGTTTAAAGTTATCCATTCACAAACTATCGGCTATGTCAATAAATGGACCCAAAGTAGAGCAACAAATAGAGTGCCGAAGTTATCACGTCACTTTGTAGGCCAAAAGAAGTGAGTTAGCATTTTAGCACTCCCAATTCCCTCGCTCTGAAGTCTATGGGATTTTTGAACGGGTTTTTGGTAAATCGCCTGAAATAAGGTCTGTGGTGAACAAAGCCTCTAAATATTTTCATGTTTAGATCTATGACATAAAACACACCTTGTGGTTTTTTAAAATTTATTTTGTCTGCTTGTGTTTTTTTACTTTATATAGGCTTTAAAATGTATACATTTTGGATTAACTTGTAAAGATTATCTTGATAGACAAAACGTGTAAGGGTCACAACTCTTTGTTGAACACGGATCTTATTTTTTGCGATTTTCCAAAAGTCTATGGGGGAAAATGCATAGCTTTTGGATCAAGGGAACCCATGCGATGCTAACTTCCATGTTGTCCTACAAAGTGACGTCATCACTTCGGCACTCTATATCAATATACAGGTACTCCACAGCGACTCTAGGGGTCGCTGTTTGACAAAAACGGAATTCCTACATAGTGTGCCTTTAAGTAAGGATGTATTAAACTAATAGGTGTTTACAAAATATATTAACCATGGTTATTGACATGGTTTTCACAGGAATAAATTACTTATTTTAAATTTATATTAAAATAGAAAACGGTTATTTAAAATATTCCTCAATATTACTGTTTTTACTGTATTTTCATAAATCAAATAAATAATAAGCAGCCTTGGCGAGAATAATTGGACTTCTTTGAAAAACATAACAAAATCTTAATTTTGGGGGTTGGCATATACCTAAAGCATATTTATTTTGAAGCAAACTTTCTTACCTTCCACCAGCTGAAGATGTTTCTTTGTAATACACTGTTGGTGCTATTGAGCAGAAGTGGAACAGTGGGTTTGTAACGTTCATTGAACCAGCTACTATTTCCGCTGTCTTCCAAACAGATATGGGATGTGCGCTGAGCTCGCTCGAAGACAAAACTGTAAGAATTGTTTATCAAAACCACTGCTGCGTTTTGAAAGTACAGGAATAACAAGATGGTCGTAGAGCTCAGGAGTGCGGTGATTTTGAAGACACGTTTCAGTCGCATGGTCATCAGTGTTGTTACAGGTTACTTCAAACAGAAATATAATAGACCTACAGAGGGAAAGAGAGTGATTCATATTGAGTTATAAAAGAGACAAATACAAGGGGGCTAAAGATGTACCATATAGAAAGCCAAACAAGTCACATTTTGCCAGTAACCAAACCCCTGGTGTCCAGAAAGAGCATTTTAGAAGAAAAGACACTGCAAAAACTCCAGAAATACGTATAGCAAATTATTTTGCCGACCAGATGGTAATAGGTTGAAGGGGGTGGATTGGAATCCACTGCTGCTTCAATGTGTAATGAGTGATTAATCAACATATTAATAAATATTTTTCCTTCTAAATATCAAATGAGCTGAATGACATCTCGGGAGATTTTCCTTTGTTATAGAAGTTATGATGATTACTTAAATGTTCTTTTCATATATTCTTTAATGTCTGTATTTGATATCTGAATGCAGTAAAAGCCGGCTTCCAGAAATTAAATTAGGTTCAAATTAAATTCATGTTTGAGAAAGGTCTTCAACGTGTTAAAGGGATAGTTCACTTTGAAATTAATTTTTGATATGTTTTAGCTTACCTCAAGGGCATCCAAGATGTAGGTGTCTTTGTTTCCGCAGTATTTTCAATTTTGACATTTTTCAGTCAAATCGTTCTTGTCTGTCAGCCATATAATGGAGGTCTATGGTCACCACCTCAAAGAGCATGCACAAAGAAGTCCAGATTAAACATGATTTAATGACTCGTAAATGTAAGTACACATTGATGGTCTAAGACACGAAACGAGCGGTTTGTGTGAGAAAACAGTATTTATATCTTTTTTTACCTCTTGTAAACACAGCCACGTCCAGTGACAAGAGGTAAAAACTATATAAATATTGTTCATTTCCTCTCACACACCACTCGTTTTGTGTATTAGACCATCAATGTGTACGTATAATTACAAGTTATTAAATCATGTTTAATTTGGACTTCTCTGTGCATGCTTTTTGAGGTGATGACCATAGACCTCCATTATATGACTGGCAGACAAGAACGGTTTGACCTTAAAATATCAAAATTGAAAATACTGTGGAAACAAAGACACCTACATCTTGGATGCCCTTGAGGTAAGCTGAAACATACCAAAAATTAATTTCAAAGTGCACTATCCCTTTAAAACGTATAGGGGTCATTGAAGCCAATAGTTTAAGGGACCATTTCTTTGTTAAAGCCTGGACTAAAGTGGAGCTCTCCTTCAGAGCAAGAATGCATTATCCTGATATTTTGAGAGGACTCTTCTGTTTATAGTTACAGCCTGACCAAGTGCAAATTATTAACACCTGAGTGTTATTCCAGTAACTGGTGGAAAGGCAGAAAGAACCTGCAGACCTGCATTGGTGAGAACCTGAGGACATATTCTTATGTTGATAAAAGAGACTGTTGTATTTACAGCGCAGGAGTGCTATTTTGGTTTGTTTTTGTTTGAGTGAAAGAGAAATTCATAAAGTCACTCAGAACTTTTTATTTTCTGAACATTTTTACAATGAGTTTATGTCTAGTTCATGTTTCTTGACAAGCCAAGCGTTTGTTTGTGTTTGTTTTAGTTGTTCATGTTTATTTGGAATGAAGCTGCATGGGTTCTTAACAATTTGCCCTAAGTGGACATTTTTTGCAGTTTATTAAGCGCAATTCTGACTTTATAACTTCATCTTCATATATAAGTATACTTTTAGGTAGATTTGAAGTAAATTAATGTAGGCTACACCAGCAGTGGACTTCACAAAAATTCACATAGCCTACTCAGAATTATGAACATCTGTTTTCTTTATAAATCAATATTAAAAAACTGATTTTGTATTTTTTATATAAAACTAAATTTTAAAAAAGAAGTATTTAATAGGCTACTCAATCAAAAGAGTAAAGACAACGAAAAACCCAGTATGGCCTACTTAGAATAGTGATACTTTTAAGTAGCCTATATCTCAGTCAAAGTGTTTGTGTTAAGTACAGGTCTAATAGAATATAAATAATGAATAAACTCCTTTTTTCAAGGGTTCTGACTTTATTCCTGGAATTATGAGATATTTTTAATAGACTGTAAAATCATTATTTAATTTGACACGGTATTATCAAAATATTGTGTACAATCACATGTTTAAATTCTACAGCACATACATAAAATGGATGTACATGGTTATAACGTGCAAATATGGTGATGTAGCCATTATTTATCAAAGCATCCAATTAAATTATACAACTGGAATATGGTCGCCTACTGTTAGCCTATTTTTGGTAAGGAATTAAGGTTTTGTCGAACTTGAATACACAGCTGTAATGTGCTGCGATATAATTGATACTCAAGCATAATTTACTCATATACAACTTTTCCTAAGAATAAAAACTGACTTACCTACTTTGGTAATGTATTTCAGACTTCTCAGCGTGGTGTTTTTTCTTTTTCAAATCCTGCGTTATTTGAGGCGCATTACTAGAGAAATGCCTCAGGTAAGACTCTGTCGATCTATAGTATCCTTCCGGTTCTGGCGCGCTGGGTTCTGAAACTGGGGTTCTGAAACTGGTGGTGCTGCGGGTCTGCAGCTGGATATATCTCCTGTCGATGCGCGCGCGCGCGCGCGTGTGTGTGTGGAGTAATGAACCTGTGCTTTAAGCTGTAGGCTATGGGTGGAGCTGTGTGTAACTTCCTCGGAAAAGGTAAAACACCTGTTATTTATATATGTGTAACGGAGGCCAGCTAGTAGTTGCTGTGCGAGTAAACCTCACTCCCCGATCTCAATAGGCGCTCTAGCGAGAGATCTAGCGTCCTTGCTAGAGTGCCAGAGTCTCATGTCGGAAACCCGGGTTCGAGGCCCCGCTCGGAGCGGGGCGAGTAGGACCCGGGTGTGAGGGGTTACATATGTTCCAACAGAATATTGTAAGGGACAAAATCCACATATTTTATAATATTAATGTATTTCTATATAATGTATAATGTTCAAAGATGTTTCAAATGCATATTTATGTTTTAAAAAAACTAAAGACGGATCGTCTCGCTAGATGAGATCTTATTTCTCGACTCGTGTCGAGACTTACATTGACTTACATTTGAACCTTATTTGAACATTTGAATATTTGGTTACCCGTTGAAGTCCATTCTGTGTAGAAAAATCCTGAAATGTTTTCCTCAAAAACCTTAATTTATTTTCGACTGAAGAAAGAAAGACATGGATATCTTTGATGACATCAGGGTGAGTAAATGCATCATGATTGGTAAACTGCACTGTGTTTTAAGGCCCGTACACACCGGGACGAATATCAGCGCGCGTTATTCGTCAGCGTTTTTCAACGCGTTTTTTTGTGTTCACACCCAAGCGTTTTTCGCTGACGATGAGCTGAGTGAACATGCAAATTCATTCCCTGACATTAGATGGCGCTTAATGTAAAACAGAAATAATAATAGAATAGGCCTACTATAGGGTGATCACATTCATGTCTCAATGTAATGTTTTATTATGACAGATAGAAAAAATCGAATGAAATAATGATAGAAATAATGTCTTCTGTATTAGAAAAATAAATATATAAATAATAAATAACTAAAAGAAATGCCTCCAAATGTAACAAAAAATAGCTCTCACAAACTTACAAAAACGAACTAACAAAATCTATTTATAAATATAAATATCTTTAGTTTTCATCCTCTTTATCTTGTTTTTCTTCCTCGTCCACCTTTTTTGCCCATCTATATTTTGCTGTAGAACTGATCTTTCCCAGCAGTTTTTTTTTTTTAAACCAGGACATTTTCATCACTTAAAAACAGTCAGGACAGGACGTGGAAACAGGACATGTAACGCAAAGTGGAGATGTTGCCCAGAGATAAAAACATACCAGTTGTCGGATGAACAGATGCACGAGAGACGAGAGTTGTCGTATTTCCCCACGTTTAATAAAACCACTCAAACGTTACACTCGTCCTCATACATGGGGATCGAGCGAGAGAGAAAAAACACAAACAAACATCTGGTCACAATAGAAAAATAAAATAAAAGAAAGAATACAAAGAGTCGGCAGAGGTTATCTATCTCCTCTCCTCACTTAATTGTCAAAAATCTAACTGACACACGCACATATGCGCAGTTCTCATCTCAACTCAGATTTCCATAAAGCACAAAGTGACTGTTTTACACATGTCCCGGGAAAAAACAGGACTATTAGTCACCCTATACTATACTATTATTACAGAAATACTAATATAAATATTATCATACAGCTCTTTGCTCCGAGACCAGCAGCGCAACATTCATCTTGCCCATAGGTATCTTATCTCTTCTTCGCCGGATGTGTGCTCGGCAAGACCGTTTTGTGTTCGCGCGCCCCCAAGTTGTGTTTTACTGTAACTTCAGAAGTACCAGACACGTGAGCAAACCCGCCAATCTCGTTGGTCGGATAGGTTTTGACGCGGCGCGTCAAACCAAAAAAACGAACCCGAGGCGTTTTTTAAAAAATGACGCTTTTACGCGTGGCGTTTTTCGCGTCGGTGTGAACACTCACATTGGCGCCCATTGTTTAGTCACGAGGCGTTAAACGTCGACGAATAACGCGCGCGAAATTCGTCCCGTTGTGAACATGATTCAATAACACTGTGTCGTGCCGCATTGATGCCATGGCTGAAGACATCCTGGCTACACTAGTCAGCCGTGTGAAGAAAAGTGAGTTTTACTCTATGCAAGTAGATGAGTCAACAGATGTTGCAAATCTGGCCAATCTTCTTCTGGGGGTCCTTTACCTTTTTGAAGGAACGGAACAAGAAGATTTTTTGTTCTGTTGGCCCCTTCCCACCTGAACAACAGAGAGCCGTCCAAGAGGGACACTAGGTCCGCAAACCACACTCTGGTCGGCCAGTGTGGGGCTACTAACAACAGATGAGCCCCTTCCTGGCGAACCCTTTCCAGAACTCCCGGGAGCATTGATATCGGGGTAAAAGCATAAAAAAGTCCTTGGACTGAATCTGTGACACGATCTGTTTGAGTGTAAGCATCTTGAACTTGAGCTTTTGAAATCTGCTGTTTAGCTTTTGCAGATCTAGAATAGGAGGTAACCCACCATCTTTCTTGGGAACGATGAAGTATCGGCTGCAAAACCCTGACTCTCTGCTGGTTGGAGGAACCCTTTCTATAGCCCCATTTTACAGAAGCGTCATCACTTCCTGTTCCATAACCCGAGCCTGCTCGGGACCACCACGGTGGAAAGAATCCCTAGAAATCTGGGCAGACGAGAACCGAACTGAATTCTGTAACCCTTCTCTATAACATGCAGGACCCACTGAGAAATATCTGGCAGTAGTTTCCACGTTGCCATTGAATTCCACTAAGGGGACCAGTCTCTCGGGACTGGCCTCGGGATTTGGTTGAACGGACATTTCGGCAGGGAACAACCGAACTGACCTTTCTACGACCCTCCTCGGACGACCGTATGGGGACGCTGACACCTCGGTGCCCTGAAACGGTGAACCGGCAGGGAACAACCGATGTGGCATCGCCCCCCTCGTCATCGACCGTGATCGACGGGTTGGTGACTCCTGTAACAATACTGTTCTAATGCTGTCTAAGGCCGGATTCACATATAGCGCCTAAAACGCGTAGAAAACGCTGGGTGCGCTGCATTCTCCGTTTTTCCAAAGCACCAGGGCGGTTGCGCTTCAGTTGGTTCTTGTCACATGACCTATTGTGTGCGCATGGTGTGCTTGCGGTATTCTGAAAAGTTAAGATGTTTTTATCTCGATGCGGCGCCGACGCGCATGGAAAAAACTAGCGCGTCGCACCGCGACCGCATCGCTTCCATTATGAGCGCGCATACCGCGCGCCTACATGTGAAATAACGAACTTGAGCGCGCAAAAGACGCAATATATGAACTGGCCCTAATTCGATCCAATGGCGGTATTCGATCAGAGGTAAAGGTCTTACATGTGTTACGTCTTTTCTCATGGCAAAGGGATTTTTAACTAAAGGCAATACATTTTATCTTATTAACTCGTTGTTTCATCTGACTCCATAAATGAAAAGGTTAATCAATGATATCTGTGCATCATTAACTATACGTGAATGTTTGACTATTCCATTTAACTCTTATGAAAATAAAGTTAAAGGGTCTCATTCATGAAACATTCGTAAATTTACGAGTAAATATGTGAGTGATTTGCGCGTAAAGAGACCTTCCCTAAAACTCTTCTCTTGATTCACAAATACTTCGTAAACGTCAGAGGTGAGAGTGAAATGTGTGTGTGTGTGTGTGTGTGTGTATGTGTTAATGAATTCCAATGAGTCGTAAATGGGACTTGCGTGAACGTTCATTCTCAATTACCATAAGTCCCGCCCATTAAATCTATATATGGGCATCATATTATGACATGAATGGATGAATTACAGGAAACGCCTATAAAAAAAGAAGCTTGGCAGCATATTACAGATGCAGTTAATGGAGTTTCATCTGTTAATCAAACAGTCCCAGAAGTGAAAAGAAAACGTTTCGACATTAAAGGCGCTTTTCCACTGCATAGTACGGTACGGTTCGGTTCGGTACGGTTCAGTTGTGGTGCTTTTCCACTGCATGGTACGGTACAGTACGGTTCGCTTCAGGTCGCTTTAAATGGTACCTGGTCTGTTGAGGTTCCAAGCGTACCGTACCGGTACTAAAATGTGACGTGAAACACTGCAGATCACTGATTGGTCAGACAGAATCGTCACTACCAGCGTCACTACTAGCGTCATTGGATTTGCGACACGAGACACGAGACACTTTTTTAGCAGTATTTTTGTTTTGCTGCCATCAGCCTCATTTTAAACACATTTTTCCGTCTAGCAGTTAAAAACTAGCCTGGTTCTACCAGACTCTCGTACATAAAATGAAATTGAGCGGAAGTGCGTAGGAGGGCGCAGCCAGGCTAGTTAAAAACAACCACATACCGAGAATCAGGAACACCATCCCCTCGATAGGCTCCATTGTTCCTGTGTTGTGGGTTTGAAAATGTGGCGCTTTTAAGATGATGTCATGGCAGTAGAGGCGCGCGCAAATAACGATCAGTCCCACACACTTTGAAGGGGTACTACTGCAGTGGAAACGCAAAGCGAATCGAACTGTTCCGCGCCGTGTCGAAGCGTACTGAGCCGAACCGTACCGTACTATGCAGTGGAAAAGCGCCATAAGCTTGACAGCAAAAAACGAACTGTTCTTATTCAAACTGGAGGAGCTCCGCCATCACAGATAATTTTACTGGCTCCCATAATACAAGTAAAAAGAAAAAACGTATATAATTACTAAACATAATATTTTTTTCAAAATGCTGTGTGAATATGTACCCGATTAAGGTGAATTAAAATGCAGCCTTATTAATGAGCAAAACGTTCGGATGTTAAGTGCACCATTTACGCGTGGCTGGGAGCAGGTGCAGATTTTCTGCATACCAACTAACATTTGGAAAATACGAACATTTTAATGAATCCGAAAATTTACGCCAGAACCACTTTACACACGATTTACACAAAAATTAGTTCTGCTCGTGTTTCATGAATGAGACCCGTCTGTTAGAATAATCAAATATAACAATTTGTGTCAGG